ATGCACCGGTCGAAAACAGTCGTCTGTCAATCGTTTCATGATCGCGATTATCATGAAAGATCTCGACGTGGTAGTGATGGTAGTGTTTTGTATTGTTGTCATTGTTGTTTTATTAATTTTTTTTTGTGATGGTGATTGATGGTAACTAGTAACCGCTCTGACCTTTCCATCCTTCCGTTTCTTATTTCGCTCTTTTGCGCTCTTTACTACCTGTTTCGTGCACCGTTCTTGATATCTCTCGACGCTCGATTAAGGACCGTGAAATGAAATTACGATTCACTTGAAAATCGTTAGATAACTCGCGAATTTTCAAACGAGAATTTACTTCGCGCTTCAGCCGCGCGACACGTGCTAACAGCTTCGCCTAACTAAATTCTATTCATTCGCTCCATCGTCCATTCTCAAACTCATCAATATTGACTGATATTCCTTTTTACTTTAAACAGACTTTCAAATTTCTATCAATTTTGCATCCGCTTTCCTCCAGATTTTCTCACATTTCTTTCATTCTTAATTTTATGCAGCACGCTCGCATCTTTTGCACCAGAAGCGCTATAAACTTTTTTACCATACTATTTATTATATGTTTCATTGTTCGCGATTTCTTTTATTAACCAAAAAACAATACATGATGTTTTATCGATGGAAATTTTTTGATAAATCGATCCCTAAGATGTTGGGTGGGCGTCGAAATGTGCGACGATTGTGTTTTAGATGTTTTCCTATCGCTGTACAATCCATCGCAATGCCGTGTAGTGTAAGTGTTGGTGTGTAAGTGTTTAGTGTCGTGAAAAAAAAAATTTCTCGATCGGTGATGCCCGAGAGACAGCAAACGCTCCCGCACGCGATCCTTCCTCGGGGATGTAAAGTCCACCCTTTAGGGTGGTGGCGAGGTCAGGGCGGCGGAAGCGATCGCCAATCGTCGTGGGCACGCGCCGACAACGAACAGAAGCTCTGGTTCGATAAGAAACGATTATCGTTGGTTGCGTGAACGAGGTGTATGCACTCGTCCAGCTTTAGGTATTTACATAGAAACTAACCCTATTTCGCATTATGTACGTTCGTTTAAGTTTATCAGTAAATTCTCAGTTTATGCTTGTGATATCAAGGTGTATTTACATACTACTTAATCCGAGGAAAAAACGCCCTGTAACGCAAAAACTTTAATAATAACGATCAATGAATCGACCCGCGGTCGCGATCGCTGGAACTCGAAGTGCTCCGCTTATTCTTCTCTTATTCGCAAAAAAATGACAAGTTCAGTTTAAATTTTTCAAATTTTCCGAATTCACGATTTGCAAAAAAATTGATCCCGATGGTGATAGGAACGTTTTTAAGGAAAGAGCGAATTTTAGAAAATTTTTCGAAAAGAAATATGCCAGACGCATCCGATCGAGTTCCGATCGCGAGACGAGTGCAATCGTTAAATGTAGCTTTGACGATGAATCCTTTAGTGATCTTTTCATCTCTCGTCCCAGATGGTCAAAAAGCCTGGCTATTCGGCGGCTTCTCGGCGCGTGTCTTTTACGTTCAACGAAGATGACGACGTTAGGTTATTTTCGTAATTGGCGAACAAATGGACATGAAAGATGAGAAGGAAGTATATACGTCATGAAAGGGAAGCTTTTTGTTACATAATTTCTCATAGTTTATGGAAAATATAATTTCCTAGCGAGAGAAAAGATTTTGTTATACTCGTAGGCGTACTTTTTTTTAACAGAATTTAGAAAGAAATTTCTACATTTTGGAAAGATGAAGGGAAAACTTTTGGATGAAAAGCGAGGATCAAAGGGGGATGATTTTCAAAAATAGGTCAAGAGTCTCGTCGAGTCTCCAAAAGGAAACAACGATAACAGTAACGCGATCGATGTTAATGTCCAATGATGTGAACAAATTCAGTACGTTATCATTTAATTCTGCGTTATATCAATCCGCGATTGCCATTCCAATAAACGAAGAAATCTAATTTTGTCATAGACAAATGCTTATCGAATTGACTTTTCAATGCTTTAACTTTTTTTCTTTATTGCTTTTTTCAATCGCCTTTCTAAACCTCCGGTTTTTACTTTCCTTTAGAAATTCTCATTTTCGTGCTTCGAGAAACTTATTTCCAATGAAATGTCACAAACATGATTCTCTTTGATGTTTTTTACAGCCCTGGTGAACAAAATTCTGATATCTCATGATTTTAAGAATTTGTCATATAAATTTATGAAAATTTCTGAAAAAATATCTTGAATTTTTTAAGATTTTTATTTTCAGAAATTATAGAATGAAAAATTTTACAAATCTGAAAATATTTCATTAAATAGAAATTCTGAAAAATTTTAAAATTCTGAGAAATTATATTAAGAATTCTAAAAAAAATATTCACCAGAGAAAAAGTCTCGTTTCATCTCGTCTGGTTTCATCGAAAGATAACACCATCGAAAGTGCGAATGATCCAAAAGTTTAAGTCAAAAATTCGGAGAGATGGACAAGACGACGAAAAATTTGGTCAACTTTGGAGATTCGAATTGATGGAACTTCGTGAAAAAGGGAATTTCAAGAGGGTAAGGGATTCGGTTCGCTCCACGATCAAACCTATGGACTTTTCTTTATATTCTTCCTCTCCCTCGTCATCCTCATTTTCGTATTATCTTTTTCTTTTTGTTCTTTTGTTTTTGTTCATCCACCTTCTTTATTTCCTATTCGTCTTCTTATTCTTCTTCATCCTAAGTATTGCGAGAACGTAACGGTATATTGCAAGTAAAAGTTCAAAACGACGCAAGAGTTTTACGCGTTTCAGATTATATTACCCGGAAATAAAAAAATATTTCGCTTATAACGATCACAGGACCTCAGATTACCTGAAGCATGCCATTCTAAAATCTCACTCTCGTCTTCTCATTCGCTCCTCCTTGATGCTCACGAAGCATTCACGTTTACTCGATCAAATCATTCGCTCAACGGCGCGCCCGTATGTCTACGTCGATCCCAAGGTCGTCCATTCGTAAAAATCATTCACATATTCTTTTTCTCCCTCTCTTACTCTCTCTCCCTTTCTCGCTTTTGCACATGTTCACCTCTGCTTCTGTGCTGTCGCATTCTTACATCGACAATACTTGGGATCACGTAAAACCTACGCGGGCGCGCGCTCCGCATTCACTCGTATTTCCCTTTCGCCTAACTATCCTAGTCTCATAGACCCTATATTCATTATTTATAATATTTATATATATAATATATATAATATTTAGCATTTAGTTTTTTATTTCTCTCTTCTTCGTCGCGTGCTTTGCTCACGAAAAATGCTCGCTCTTTCACGCTTACCGCACCTTCAGTTAAACGTGTAAGTGTGAATGGGTTTCGCCCGGTTTTTTTTGTCTGTCATACTCTTCATACTCTGTATGTATATATAATATATATAATATAACTGTTTGTAATAACTATATTTTGTTTGTTCGCTTATGAGCTAATAGTTTTCGTGCTACCGACGAGCACAAGTTGCGCGCATTTATATCTTTACCTTAAAAGTGTGCTGCTGATGAGTTTTGTAATATATGTATTGTACATGTGTACATATGTGTAATGTATGTGTAATGTATTTACGTGTGTATGCTCGTGTGTGTGCGTACGTATCTGTGCCGACGCGTTACGTCCGACGACGTTCCTTTCTCGTGCGCGAAATGTCAACGTCGCTTTGTCGTCGCGCGAAACGTTGATCGCAAGTGAGAAAATGTTCGTACGGATTGCGTCGCGTCGCGTCCGTCTGTCACACACACACGGGGAAGGGGATTTCGGTACGTATATAATTAACAACCGTACAACGCGACAATACGGCACCACTCGCCGGTGGTGAAACGTTCGTCGCGACCACGCGATGCACACGTTATGATGAGCCTGTGTACGTGGGTGTTATTGGTGTGCGATTCGCTTTTTAAGCATTACGGGACCTTTTACGATTAGGGGATTTAAGGGGGTGGAACCTTTTAAGCGCGGTTCGGTGGAGTTAGACGTATCTATGTATAATATTTATATATAGTTTAGGTTTGTTGAGCCTGGCCAGCATGAGACGGTCAAGGATCGCCCGTTGGACCCTCGGTACCGTCACGTACCGCTTAATCGGCTCTTGTACTAAAAGATCATAGTACCTCAGAGCGCACCCAGGATTATCCTAAAATAGGATAACCGAGATGACTTATTGTTGTTTTTTTAAGCAACTTCTCGTTAGTTATTATGGCACGTTTCGGAAGTCGAGGCGGTGGTACGGCAGTGGCGACGTGTCCTGAGAATCCTAACGAAATACGAAGACAACGTGAGAACACTGTCGCGAATTCCGTTCGACAGATCCTTCATTCAGGAACGGTGTAGGAACGACGCGGAACCGCGCAGGAAGCGCGCGGGGAATCGCGAGAGACGACCGTCGCCACTGCGATTTTAACCGTCTCGTGCCGTGCAACGGTTTTGCTATACACGTACGTATTCTCACTCTCCTCCCGTCGTCTGGCACGGCCCCATCCGGAGAGTTCGTCAACCGAGGATGATACCCTCGATTAATTTCCGGTTGAGGTCCGGCCTGATATCGGTTCTATCCGAGTAGGAAGACACCGAAGTATACATTCTTTCTCACAAAGTCCTTTCGTTTGTTTCCGTTTTCTTACTGCTGAGACAGTGAGTGAAATTCTAGCGACCGCACTTGGGCGCAGGAGCGAATTACGTCAACGATGACAATGACGTTTCGTCATGTCGATCGTAACGAACGTAGTCGCTCTTACGCGTTTTCGGAGTTACCGATCATCTCGTCGGCTTTTCTCTTGACGCCACGGTCTTCAGGCTGCTGTTGCTGCTGCTGTTGGTGATGACCGATAGTAGACGGTCCCTGCTGTTGCTGCTGTTGCTGATCGTGCAACGGTGTCGAGCGCTCCGTCAACGATTGCGAGTGTTGCTGATTCATGCGCTCGTTCTGCTGCAGGGTCGTCTGATCCGGCGCCCAAGGGGTCCACTCGTCTCAGTAGTAACTGAATTTTCATGGTTGCTGATTGCTTTGCTGGTTGACGACGTGTTGAGCTAGAGTGAAACTCAGGGCGCGCGGATCGCCGCCATGAAGCCTGAGGGCCTGCTCTAATCGCTGCTCTTGTAACCGTAGCGCTTCTCCTGAAAGATGTCAAATGTCGACGATTTGTTAGAAGTTTTCATCGCAGATTGAAGCTCAAAAAAAGTCTCGAGGAGTTAGACTCGAACGCTATAGTACAACAGCGTGTCGCCGGATTTTTGTATCACTTACCGAGATCCGGCGTTAGAGTATCTTGTTGGGACATTTGTTGATTCGTATGGTGTCCCGGCATACCGGAGGTGCTACCTCCGTTATGCTGTCCCAAATGATGCCTTACGTCACCGCCCACCGCGGAACTCGCCGCGGCTGCCGCCGCTTGAGATACCTGCGCAAAGATGTAAGAAAAAGTTGAAAGGTGGAAAAGAACTGAGAAGTTCTGTTTGAGCTGTCTTCTCTTTTGCTTTTTTTTATCGAAACGTTTATGAATCTTAATTGAATAAAATGAAATCAATATACTTGAACATCTTGTGTTGACTTTTATAGACACTACACTTTATTGATTTACTTCCATTAAAGTCAGATTTTTATTATTTGTTTTTATCTTTACTTCTTTGCGAAAGAATATAATTTGAGTTATTTTCTCAATCTTCATTTCTTTATAACACTACTTTCAATATTCAAAATGGAGATTGTAAAATTATGCTTTTTTTAACTTTGATAATAGAAGAATTGGCTATCTTTTTTACCGCAAGTCGTAGGGCAGCTTCGGCTTGGGAACGGAGCAATGCTTCCGCCTGATGCATTCTCAGAGCTTGCTCCGGTCCACTCGTTTGCACTCCCTGTTGTTGGGGTCCCGTCGATCCTTGAGTACCTCCGCTCATATCACCGTTATTGCCCATTCTCATAGCCGCCGCCAGCGATGCCATGTCGACCGGCGAGAGATTAGGCGATACGGAATTTTGCAATCCTAACAGAAATATCGCTTTCACATCTCGCTTACCATCGAAAGTAATTTAAAGTCTATAAATAATATATCAATATATATAGCTTTTCTAATCCTTTTTAAATAGCAATAAATTGCAAGGTATATATTTAACAAACATCTCTTTTTGTAATGTTAAATTTAAAATAGTATCTCATACGATGTATTTCAGAATCTTGGAGCATCATGATTGAATCACGATCTGTAGAACATGTGTCAAGGAGATTGCTCGCAAACGCTATCTCGTGTCAACTTTAATCGTGGGAAGAGAAGAGAGGAATGATGGTAAGGAATTCCGATATTTGTTTTTCCTGTTATCGTTTCTTCAGCAAGTTTCTCGACGAGTTATTCGTAGTTCTCCGTGAAAGAAACGTGCACTACGTGCGCGATAAATTTTACTAAATTAACTTGCGGTAATATCACACATAGTATCACACATAATAATCGTGCAACGCGTTTCTGCAACGTGGAAATGTTTTTTCCTTTGGCAACAAATACAGTCATGTCGAACGTGTTTATAATTGCTCGCTCGAGTTCTCATCGAAGACATGAGAAAAGCAGGCAACGCGAATGCAATGTTGTGAGTGGAGAAACAACATTGTAAATCTAGTTTTATCTGTAATAATTGGAACGAAGCTATCGGCTTTCCCTTCTAGTGTAATTTCGTACTGATAAATGATAACGCACTTCTCGAAGATTCATGCGTCTTATATATGTATACTTGTGTATGTATACTTGTGTGATCAATTCGCTAGATCAGCATAACTCGTTGGTACATGGTTTTATATATATATATATATATATATATATA